CTAATCATGACTGGACTATGTTTCTCTGGCACACTTAGAATGTGGAAGTGAAACCAGGATATCTAAGAATACACACAAGCACGAAGGAGAAAACTGTTGCCAACACCTGATATGAAAAGATATTTTAAAAGGTCTTAAACTGTAACTTCATTAAAAATGTTTGGGTAACCCTCTCCTTCAAGTTCTCTCCATGAGGGGGCGGGGGTTGCAGCAATGTGTGGGTTTCCTCTTTGAAAGAGGCTCTGGCATTTGCCAAGCTGCTACCCCTATTCCCCACTTCTAAGTACCATTAGCAGAGGGCACGCATGTGAGGAAGTTTTAAGACGGTGGCATGCCTTCAGAAGCACTTGTACACAGAAAGAGTTCAACCCAATTCTGTGTAATGGACCAACTAAAGGAAGAAGACTACTATGCTATCAATTTATGGAAAAGGGCAGGACAGCTCAGAAATGTATGAAGACAATTAGCCTTAGGAAAGCTCTCTGTGGTTTCCGACTGCAGAGAAAAGTCTAAAGTTGAAAACCCATAATATGAGATATAGCTCTTTGTTGTCAGATTTCAAATCACTTTTTGCTTTGTTTAAATTTCTTCATTTCAGCCACTCTGGCCATTTTTAAATGCCTCAAGTACACTAAGTTCTCTGTTCTTTTGACCCTCTCTGAGTCTTCCTTCCCAACCGGTACCATCCTCCCCACACCCTCTGGCCAACTTCTTCTCCATATCACAGTTTAGATGGGTTGTTTCCCAAGAAAAAAAGATTTGCCCTGTCCTACAAATAAGGTGGTCTTCCTATTCAGTGCTCCCGAAAGTCTCCATGTTTCTGTTATAAAATCACCATGCTTGTTGATACTGTTTCACAGGGACAGTGTACTTTTTCACCTCTGCATAGAGGATGGTCACTCAAATTCTAAGTGGAACTTCTTCCTTCAAAAGTCATGGGAGAACTAAGAAGGCAGAATTTCCAGATAGTGGGTATTTGAAAATGACTATCATTTTCAAAAGAGAATGCTTATCATTTCATTTTTTATGGAGGAAAAAAGCAAAACCAAATTATCTTTGCAACACCCAGAGAACAGGTTATATGTCTAGATATCTTATCAATGGGAAGAATTATGACATCTCTCCTCTCTTATCACTTCTTTCTCTCCAGGGATTATATCTGCCTGAAGGTTTTAGGATTCCGGGATGTCACCAGCATGATTTCTACCAGAGGAGATATCAGAAATTATGTTTTCCATCAAACCATCAGTCTGAGTAATGCAACAGACCGGCTGAGACGCTTCTGGAAGGAAATTTGAAGTATTACACCAGGGACTTAGCAATTCTCATTCACAAAAACCGATCAGCATTGGAGCCAGCCGTTCTGGCCCTGGACACGAAGTTATTCCGTTGGCTCCTCAGAGCAATGTGTCAGCTTCCTCCTTAATCACAAACTTGGAGGCTGGCCGGCCAAGCAATACTCCAAAGGTTTCCAGGCATGGATAGAAAACTGCATTTTGCACTCAGTTTCTTTCTATCATGTCATAAATCTGGGAATTCATGGGATCTTTTTTAAATATTCCAGAGGAAAAATCATTCTTCTGGGTGGGGTGAGGCATTAGCATAGAGAGAAGTTCTGAGAAACTGGTACTACGTTGCTGGATCCCAGGAGCAAACACTGGGACCCTGGCTCCTTTGAAGGCCACCTTAATCTTGGTGGGGAAGCCAGACAGACAATAACATGAAGGGAAACTAGGGGAAGGTATCAAAATATCTTACATTAGACTGTTGTTTATGTGCCAGAAGTAAAGTTGGGGGCCAGCAAGGTGAGGGATTCCATTAAGAAACAGTACAGGGCCGGGGATTTAGCTCAGTGGTTCCACCGCCTGCCATGCAAGTGCAAGTTCTGGAGTTTGATTTCCAGTGCCAAAAAGAAAAAAAAAAAAAAAAGAGAGAGAGAAAACCAAATATATCTTCTGCTATAATCTGAACACAGCTCTTCTCTCTCCCTCCCCTCAATTCACATGTTGAAGCCTAATTAGTAATGTGATGGTGTTAGGAAGTGGGAGCCGCTGGGAGGTGATTGGATCATAAAATCTGAGCCCTCCCGAGTGGGACCAGCACCCTTACAAAAGAGAACAGAGAACAAGCTACCTTCCTCCTTCCCATCCTATGAAGACATCAAGAGAAAGTGCCATCTATGAACTAGAATGAAGGTCCTCTCTAGACATCAAATCTGTTGGCACACTGATCTTCTGTCTCCTTTGGAAAGGGTAGGTAGACAGAACCGGTCATAACAGGTAGGCAGAGGGAAACCATGGCACCTGCCTTCCATGTGAGCAGAGGACCTGAGATGCCCATAGACTTTCCTTCATCAGTGAGACTACACACAGGCTTCTACGCAGGCCCTTTAGCTTCCTTTACCTGTGTAGTAGGCTCTCCAGTTTAAGCTAAGATCAAGTGGCACAAAGAATTTTTTTCTTAGGATATGATGTTCAGCTGACCTCTCTGTGCCAAGTCGGCTCAAAACAAAAACGTTTTCAGGGGCTGGGGATTTAGCTCAGTAGTTCTGCCACTTGCCTCGCAAGCACAAGAACCCTAGTTCAATCCCCAGTACCAAAAAGGGGGTGGGTGGTTTCAGTAAATCTGACAATGAAACATCTCTGAGAAAAGCCAACTTGTCACTGTTAGCATGGACAAAGACCCTCCCTGAAAGTTTTCCTTGCCTCAAACACTCAGCTGCTTCTATGGCTTGTGATGGGAAGGAATTAAAACTGTATCTTGAGCTGGGGATTTAGCTCAGTGGTTCCACTGCCTGCCGCCCAAGTGCAAGGTCCCGAGTTTGATCCCTGGTACCTAAAGCAAAACACAAAAAACATATCACAGAAGTCCCTGTGTTCTTCCTCTTCCTCCCCTTCTCTTTCCTTCCTATAGCTCATTCCAAGAGACACAAATGTGGGGCTGGATGAGACAGTACCCACAGAGGGGTGGGAGGGGCCGCAGCAGCACAGATGTATGAGCTGAATCCAGTAGGGTAAGGAGGGTGCTGGTAAAGGCATGGCAGTAGCCACTCAGACAGTGATGTTGGTACTCACGTTTGATAAGGAGAACGGGAGAATGGCCACAGGGTGGGGGTGGAAGGTTGCCAAATAATAGATATATTGAGGATAAAAGGAATCAAGCATTCCATTACAAAAAAGGTGGTTATAAATATGGAAAAGGAGACCTTGGATTAGATTACAACTTTAGATTAGAATTAAAAGATCTCAGGATGAACTCATGGTTTCTAAGACAGATAGACAGATCCATAAAATCAGTGGTTTCACCGCCTACCTTGTAAGCGCAAGGGCCCAAGTCTGAGCCCCAGTACCAAAACAAGAAAAAGAAAGAAAGTGCCTGGCAGCACTGATAATCCAGGAGTAATGAGCACACCTAGCGCCCAGAGACTGGTTTCTAAACACCGTTCTCCACTAAAAGGAACACATGCTCCTCTTTAGAGGTAAGCCAATTTCAAGGTTAGGAAACAGGAACACTGTGATACCTAAAAAGTGAGGAAGCACTCAAAAAGTAACTGAGACATCTCAGAAGGACACAGAAGTTAGCATGAAAGGAATTCCATGAACTATATCTGAACAAATTATAAAGATAAAGATAGTAAAAGAAATGGATGATTAAATATTGAATGTAATAGGATTCCATGAGACCATACTGACAAGACCACATAGTTTCAAGGTATCGTTCCCAAATATTTATTAAGTACAAAAGAAAAATGTAGCTTTTTATGTGGAAGCCTTGCAGACAAACCTTCAATCAAATGATCAAAAATAATATTAAATGATCAGAGCTAATACCCGTCCCCTTTGTAGGAACATGTATCATGTCTACCTATTTGGATACAGTGACGATCGGAATCGATTTTGTGGTGTTTCCATCAAAGATAGGTAACTTAAAAGACACCAAATGAAGGCAATGGACAGACCCAACTGAGGACATCCTATAAACTTGAGGATGATGGGTTACTGCATTGCCAATTGACTCTCACATGGTTCAGAAGCATATGTGTATTTTACTTGGGAATTGTTCTTAGTGTGTGAGATTATTTCAAAATTTAAATACTAAAAATGAAGAATAACCTGTGTAATTGTAGATTTTATGGAAGCCAGGTGTCAAGGTGGAATTAAGATCTAGATGAACCAAGTTAAATGCCAACTTAAATTGGCAAATAGTTAAATACCAAGTTAAATTATACTTTAAGGCAACACTTCTGAAATTATCTCTGGTGAAGAACCACTCCTGATTCTAAAGTACAGGATGCTAGGCTCAAGGTCGGGGATATGCTCTGAGAAATGCAGTTAGAAAATTTCATCACTGTGTAACATCAGCAAGTGTGCTCACACAAGCAGAGAAGGCTATGATGTCACTTACTAGGTGACATCGTCTTGTGGGACCACCACTATATATGCACACTGTCATCAAATGAAATGGGCTACACTTGGTTTGCGGTGACTTAAGGGAGTCAAACTCAAATCACTTAGAAGATGCACAGGAACATCGTATGTGGGACAATCGGCAACAGTGAGTCACAACTACCATTCCTGGAAGGGACCCGGCACTCCCAAGGGGTTAGTAGAACACGGCCTCCAAATCAGATGGGTTTGTTTAATCCCGGACACTGAGTGTCAAGCTGCTGACTCCCGCACAGTCCACACATGAGCCCACTCCAACAGGTCGGTGCCCCAAAAAGCTTCTCCCTCGGCAAGAGGCAGCTTTTCATATGGAAGAGAACACGCCCATGTCATGAACCAAAACCAACACAGAACGACAAGCAAGGAACTACTGCACCCGCTGGGAAGTGACAAGCACCCTCCAGGCTCACACACTTCCCGGAGCCACTGACACTCTCTCTTGTTGAAATCCTCACACCAGTGCCCCCCTGCCACACACAGTGGGGCAACACACACAGACCGACAAGCAGGAAGCAGGTTACCACCTCCTTCGCGTGAGGTGAGGCCTTTCCTTACCTGGGGCGGTTTTGTAGCAGGAGGTTCTGGAGGGCAGCGACGGAGCATTCTTGGTCCGCGGGCTTGGGGCGCTCTGCAGCACTTGTCTCTGCCGCTTTAGCTCTTCTTCCCTCTCCTGGGCAGCTCGAATCTCTTCCTCGATCATGGACAAAGTCCGCTGCTTCCTTGACCTCAGCTTGAAGGGGCCAACAATCACGTCAGACTCTTGAGTGGCCAGGAGGGAGGCTGTGCTTCTCAGCTCAGCTGCCTCTGAGTACTTGCTGAAGTAGCCTCCTTCAGGCCTGGTCTCCTCCATGTTGACTGGGCCGCTGGGCTGCACAGCTGGCGGCAGCTGGGAGGGCCTCCTTTCCCTGAGCACCCTGTCCTCCGCAGGTAGATTCTTTGGTAATACATCCTTTTTTTCTTGAACAGGAGAGGACACCTGAGGTGGCTCAAACATGCTCTGAGGCTTCTTGGAGCTGGTTTCAGCTTCCTCCAGAGTTGCTTCTGGTCCCCGCCGTTCTGCTCCATCCTCGCTAGTTTGGGGCACAGCCTTATCTGCCTGCTCAGCTATGGCTTGTTGAATGGCATTCTGCACCAGAAGACCAGCCTGATATTCCAAGGAGTCATCCACAGACGGAGAATCTCCTAGGGTAGAGGAAGGGGAATAGAAACCATGATCACTAAATGACTTCGAGACCCCTTCTCGGCCCTCTGAGGGGTTGTCCGTTTGTGGAGTCGGAGGCAGAGAGAAATCAGCCAGCGAGTTTTCCTGGAGGGCATTGGTTGTCTCATTGGAGGCACCGCTATCACTGATGTTGTCCATGCTGAAATCGTTGGACAGGGTCTCCAGGACAGTGGTATCCTGGGACCTCACCGACAACTCATCCAAACCTGAGTCAAGCTCCTCTTGGGTCAAAGAGACATTGACCGATCTTGAAAACTGATCCAAAATCCCATGGTCATCATCCTTGACCACAGTGAGGACAGCGTGGGCGCTCGTAAACTCTCCATCCTCTGCCCACAGTTTCGATAAGGGCCCGCGTTTGGAGGGCTCACTGTAAGGCCCTTCCTTTCCCTGAGGTGTGGCAGTGCCTGGGCCTCCTCCACCTGACTGAGTCCCTGGCACACAGGGCTCTTTCTGCCCCTTGGCTGCCGACGCACTGTCTTCTGGAGGTCCCACCATGGAAGCTGGTCTTAGGATGGTGGCTGGCTTGTCAGAGTTGATGGACCCCAGAGGCCTGTAGAAAGGCTTGATAGAGAACAGCCGAGGTGTACTCTGGCCCTTGGCCACCGCTTGCCTGGAATTCTCCATCAGCTGGAACTGTTTGCGTGCTGCTGAGAAGTCAATCTGCTCTGTGACAATGTCCTCCTTTGCATTTTCAGTCCCACTGACGCTGACGGGACGTTCGTGGGAGGAAGCTGGGGCTGTGCAGAGCTGTGCTGGGGGGCGCTGCGGCTGCTGCTGCTGCTGTAGTTGCTGCTGTAACAGCAGCTGCTCCTGCTGCGCCCTTCTCTCCTTGCGCTCCTTGTACTTTTTGTGCGACTCCAGATGTTCCTCGTCCAGCTGCTCCTCAATGGTTTTCTCCTGAGGAGGATTCCACCACTTTGCCGCAATTCCGGGATTCTTCTTCACTGCCTGGCTCCGGATGAGCTCCCTCCTCTCCTTCTCCAGCTCCAGCATCTCTTCTGAAGGCCTCACCTTCCGGACACAGTATTGTTCCCTCTCACGTTCATCCTCCTCAAAGAGCTTGGAGGGCTTCTTGTCCTCATGAAAGGCACGAAGCTCAAACTTGGCTTCCTTCTTCAGGGTGGTGAGTGTCAATTCCCCGTCTCGGGAAGAACAGCGGGAGCTGGTGGAGGAGCTGGGGCTCACGGGTGCCTGCAGGCTGTCCCCCAGCACATCTGCAAGCTGGTCAGGGGAGTGGCCATTCGCCCTTTCCCCTTCTGCCATGGCGTCGGAGGGGCTTCTACTGAGCTCGACGTGAGGCAGAGTCTGCCTGCCTACTACTCCGTCAGCGGGCTCCGGCTGGGTGGCTGTGTGGGCGGGTGGGCTTATGCTGCCCTCCGGGATCACTGCACTGGGCTCTGGGGAGGATGTTCCGTTGTAAGTTCCATCCACAGCAGAGTCACAGCAGTTGGCCTCCAGCACCTCGTCTAGATACCGGATCTCTCTGGCCACGTCGTTATCCAGGGATTCGTGGTGATGGGTGAGGAGGCCATTGTGTGGAGGCGAATAGAAAGGGGAAGAGAGGTCCATGGAATGAGGACTGGAGGCGATTCCTGGAACACTTTTACTACATTCTGTAACAGACACCTCAATTTCCATGTTTTTGTGATCTGGAGGAAGAGAGCTGGTAGCAGACTCCAGCAGGAGATTGGCGCTACTGTTGTCTCTCTCACTTTTTAACTGGATATCATCCTCAGAAAGCTGGGGAGGCTTCTAGAAAAAGAGAAAACAAAAGTCACAGTTAGATACTGCATCTTGTATAGCTCTGAAAGCTGAAGAGTTCACTCAAAACAGCATGGAAAATGGACAAATGGTGAGAAATTCTTTTGAATAGAATCTGCCTTCCGATAAGCCATTCGATATTCATTTTGTTGTGATAACAGAGGCCCTCTTGACTTCACAGACTCCACCTGTTCAATGGATGCTGGTTCCACTTTTGAATTTTATTTATATGTGTAGAAGGGTTTATATAGTTAATGTACCCACGTCTTCAAAATATTTTACATCAAACTATCACAGGCTTTGTAACAGTACTGTTTATGTGTCTGCAACTATAAAAAGAAAAGTTGTTTTGTATGAATAAATCTTAAAAACATGACTTTCTGCCAGATGTAATGCAATTGTTCTGGAAACAGGAGACTTTGGGGGAAATCTTCCCATAATAAAATACTGGATCGTAGTAGATCCCTTCAACAGCCCCTCCAAGACTACAGTGCCTCAGTGCCTTGGCTGTGACTGACCATACACATAATAAACACCGTAACCAAAGCCAGTGACTTCACTGGTCTGTTCTCCGGGACTGCATCAGAGCGATGCTCCGCTTCAGTTGTGTGTTGCTTTGAAAAGCTAGTGGCCAGTGGCACCTCCTCTCAAGTTCCTAAAATGCTTGTGTTACCTCCAATTTCTGGTTAAATAAGAGGTCTTAATGTTGTTAAAAGCTTCATATTTTCCACCAGTTATCTAGCCACTGTAATTTTGTCATTTGGCATTAATTAGATTAAATTTCAAACTGCAGAATGATTTTTTTTTTTTCACATTAGAAGGCTCCAGTTTACCTCAAAGAATTCCAGCAGTAAATTATGAATGGAAAGATTACCTAAATACCGTAGCTCCATTTTCCTGTCTCAGGTTCACAGTGTGCCGTGTTTTGATGATATGCAAATTAATATATAATAATGCAAAGTGGGCACAAGGCATCATTTTCATTAAATATTCAACAATTTTAAAAGCTCAGATTAGAATGTTAAAGCCCCACTGATGATTCTCAGGGGTCTGTTTCAAAATTCTTCCAAAGAAAGTGGAAAATTAAAGTTTTTGTCTGTGAGCGTTCATCCCATATCCTCCATTGCTGTCAGTGTTGAAAAACACTCCTGGTTGGCTGTGAACTGAGGATGCCTTCACGTGCCACATTCCCCTTCAGACATAAAATCCATGAAGTAATATATATTTTCCCTCTAGTCACAGGCAATAATAGCAAGGATTCCTTCTTTGTCAACACTTCTGACCTCCTATGTTCTTCTTGACTAGATTTGGTCTTTGTCATAAAGCAGCACTTAATGCAATTGATATTTACAATCATTACTGTCTTTACTTTAAATGTTTGATCATTATTAACAAGTGTTTCTTCTCCCTCTAGGCTGAAGCGAAGAGGCGTGTGAGAGTTTTTACTCTCCTTTAAAATCATTAAGGTAAACTTTGTTTGACTAAGGCAATTACCTGTAACTCATCTGTCATTAAGAATTACAGAATATTTTAATGCCTGAAATCTAACATTCAGAATTAAGTATAAACCCAGTATAAATTAAGTATAATGTTTGGCTACTCCACAGAAAATCATTACTGAACTAAACAGACCAACAAAGAGGGACATGTGGTGATGCTAAGATGAGAGTGAGACTGGCCCTGGCACCCCCAACTCTCACTTCCTCTGGCCAAGCATTCGTGGCTTATATTCATGGGAACAGCAGAGCTTTCCTTCTATCTCTTCTGGCTTGGGGGCAGGGGGAGTAAGAGAAAGCTACTGAGACTGAAATATTCTTAAAATTCGCCGCTCCACAGAAACATAAAACACCAGAATAGCTGAGGTGGTGAAAGAGGGCAATGTGATATTAAAGGAAGCTAAAAAGCAAATAACTGATTCTATAAGTCATTTATTCATTAATCCATTCATTAAACATGCGAGAAACTTATTTCACAGGTGAGCAGCAACAATAAGCTCGAAGAATTGGATCCCCCTTGATTCCCGGGAAACACAAGTCTATTCTAGAGTTTATTCAGTCGGGTCGAGAGAACTTGTCTGTGCAGTGTCTGTGTCTCACTGCTGGTCTCAGGTATATATGACTCTGCCTATCCCCACAGCACTCCCCAAGAATTTTTTTGGGCTCCTCACATAAGCTGTCTCTTTCTCCTAAAGCACTTAACACTTCTGCGTTCCATGATGGATGAGCGGGTATGTTGCCAGTTCTTTCTTTTTAGAATTCAAAAAATCTAGCTGTTCTTTTCACTTCTTTTCTTATTTGTTTTGTCTTGTTTGAAACAGGTCTCACTATATAGTTGAGACTGACCTGGAACTCACTATGTAGCCCAGGCTGCACTCAAACTCACAGCGATCCTCCTGCCTCAGCCTCCCAAGTGCTGGGATTACAGGCGTGTGCCACCACGCCCCACTCTAGCTGTTCTTTTCAAGGCATGCTTTTTGAACTAGGAACAACTATTGCAGAATAAAATCTTTACAAATCTGAGATGAGCATTTGACAGTACATATCTTTGCAGTATCAAAAAACACTGCCTTTACTTTTGAGTTGGGAATGATAACAAGTATATAAAATTCCCAACATATAAAAATGACCAGTTTTTGAAGAGATGGAAGTGCTTAATACCCTGATTTGATCATTACACATTACAAACATGTACTGAATTACCATAATGTGTAAAGATATATAAATATCTTTATAATATAATATAATTTATTTATAATATAAATAACAGCCTCCAAGCTGTTAAACAGACTTTTAAAAAATGCTAATTTACTGGTTAAAAATCAAAGTTTGGGGTCCCAAAGTACTTGAGATGATTCCTTTCACATACTTTTTTTTTTTTTAATCTACACCCTGAAAGATATAAATAGGAAAGAGTCTCCCCTTCCTGCAAGTTAATGGGGCCCAGTCCTGTTCTTCCTGTAAACTCAAAAAATGTTTTCTGGCATTCAATTCTGCCTACTTCAAGGAGCAGCAGTGTGTGTGTGCCCAATGAGGGTAGAAGTACAGTGGAACCTCGACTTAAGAACTTGATCGGTTCCCAAGGGCTGGTAGTAACTAAGTCAATACAGCTGAGATCTGGATGTTTACCCAGGTACATGCTGTACATAACAAGAGGCAGGTGAATCCTCCACTAACCTAATTAATCCAAGTTGTTTGTATGTCAGACCAGTTGTAACTTGTGGGTCTATTGCACTTAAAGAGATAAACAGTTCTGCATTACTGATTCACAGTCATGCACCAGAAGACCTGAGCTTTTGTAATACTAGTCAATAATTATAACAAGAGCAAATTCCTGAGTTGTACTCTCAGCAAGAAGAATTTACGGTGGCCTAATAGGATCAAAACCACCAGTAACTGTACCGGATAAATGGAAACAGGCTGGAAATTCCACATATCCAGATATGTGGAACAGCAGGAATCTGGGCTCAGACTCATTAAATGATGTCTTGTTTAAACCAACCAATGCTTATTGCTCCCTTTGAAGATAAGGACTAGAATTTTCTCCATGCCTCAGATAAGGTGAACGTGATTCCAGATTCAGATTAAACGCACATTTATTAAATTGACTGGAAAGTCCTTTCTAAAATAAATTGCCTCAATGGAAAGCACACTAAGAATTTCCAACCTTGAATTTCCAAAGTCAAAGCAATACTAGGGTGCTGAGGAGGCTTGGGAGAGCCTCAGCGAACCCTCCAGGTGGAGCCCTAAGAGCACAGTACATAATACCTGCCCTCCCACTGGCTTCTCAGAATAGCTAACAGCTGGTTACGATAGCTACAATTTACTTTAAAATAGGGCAAAAATTCCAGGGCAGACAGCCATCTTAACTGGGCGCAGACACTCTAGGAGTGGTCTGCTGAAACCCCACACTCTATAGGTGGCTACCTCCAGGACCTCAGTTCCCTTTGACTCCTGCAGACCCTGAAGCTTCACTAATTAATGTAATTAAAGTGAAAAATGTGTTTCCATTAGTGCCTGTCAACTAGCATGTTGAATACCAGAAATCAGTGGAGTTTAAATTTGTGGGCTAGAGCTATTCCCGGCCCTTCAGTGTAAACAGAGGGCTGGGGTTTGACAGACCTGTTTTCAGTGTTGGATTTAGAGGATATGCGTTGTTTAAAAGCCATTACCTGGTAGCAAGATCCTGCCTTTGCAGGTTGCAAAGTGGGTCAGAGCTTCTGAAACCTTAGGAAGCTGAGACTTCAGTGAATTTACAGACAATGATTTTACACCTGTTTTTACCAATGTCGCTTAATAACTTGGTCTAACACCTGATTTTAATACATTTAACCTGATAACCTGTTTGTATCTAAAGCCACCATTATTTACCAAAAACATGCTTAATAGCCATATAAAATATATATATATATAGTAAATTATATATATAGATAAATAAATAAATATAGTAAATTAGTGCAAGTGAATTTACAATATAAGTGCATAAGTCTCCTTTCTCCATCTAAAGAATGCAGAAAACATGGTAATTCAGAGTTTGGGGTCCAAGGATCAGAGTCATTTCTGAGCTCTACCTATAAAAGTTCCACCAAACCTTATGCAAGACAATTATGGACCTCTTCTGAGAATACACCTTCTTTGTAACCACGCCTAACAATAATATCTCTCAAATTCTGTTAAGAATCAACTTAGAGAGCAGGGTATGGTGGCAAGAAGTCAAAGAGCAGCAAATGCTGGTGTGGCTGTGGTGAGAAAAGACCCCTCCTAGACTGTTGGTGGGATCATAAACTAGGAAATCAGCATAGCGATTTCCCAAAGAACTAAAATGAGAAATTCCACATGACCCAGATATTCCCCTTCTAGGTATCTTCCCCGAAGAGCTAAAGAAATCCCATCACAGTGATACATGCACACCAATGTTTATAGCAGCACAATCCATAACAGCTAGGTCCTGGAAGCAGCCTGTACGCCCATCAACAGACGGATGGATAAAGAAAA